TCTGTGCCTCAGTTTCCCCTCCCAGGCTGCTCAGTGTGAGCCTCTAGAAAGGAACAGATTCTTGCATGGGTTCCTAAAGTAGCTGAGAAATGTGGCCTCAAGCCCTACTGAGGTGGTGGCACATGCCACCTTGCTGTGTGACAGCCGTGCAAGGGGGATGGTGCAGTTTCTCTCCCAGGCTTTCAGGTCATGGTTCACTGGAGAGCTTGAGGTGTGCATGGACAAGTGTGGTTCTGGTCTGGCACTGGCAGTGTGGGCAGGATATGGGCACCCTGTGTTGGAGGATCATGGGGTACCAGTAGTGTCCCCCACTCAGCCAGTGTCCCACCCCACTGGCAGAGCCCATGGCCCTGCTGGGGCAGCTCAGCAGATTTTCACACCTGGTCTCCTGTGGAGGCTGTGGAGGAACGATGGGCATTTGGGAGAGATGGAGATGCCCAGGGACTGTCACTATGCCAAGTGCCCACTGGGCCCAGACCTGTCCTGTTTCCCCCCAAATATTGGGTTTCTGTGGTGCTGGGGGTTTCTCCCTGAGGAGACACAGGGTGTGCATGGACAGCATGTCCACGAGCCAGCCCCCATGCTGGCACATCGCCAGCCACTATGGCATTGCCTGGCCATGGTGTCACTGGCACGTTCCCAGCAGTGGCTGGAGGGCACCAATGCCATTAGACCATGTGCTGCCATCCCAGCCCTGCCATCCTGCCCTCCTGGCACTGCCCTCCCGGCACTGCCATCCTGCCCTCCCAGCCCTGCCATCCTGCCCTCCTGGCCCTGCCCTCCCAGCCCTGCCATCCTGCCCTCCTGGCCCTGCCCTCCCAGCCCTGCCATCCTGCCCTCCTGGCCCTGCCCTCCCAGCCCTGCCATCCTGCCCTCCTGGCCCTGCCCTCCCAGCCCTGCCATCCTGCCCTCCTGGCCCTGCCCTCCCAGCCCTGCCATCCTGCCCTCCTGGCACTGCCCTCCCAGCCCTGCCATCCTGCCCTCCTGGCACTGCCACCCCAGCCCTGCCCTCCTGCCATCCCATCCCAGCCCTGCCCACCCGCCAGCCGAGCAAAGCCAGCATGTCCCAGCAGTGAGGCCCATTAGAAACGAACTGTTCCTACTGCGGGATTTTATTTGCACACTTGAGTGGAGTGGACACCAAAAGGCTTTGCTAATGCTTCATGGGCTGCTAATTTCCTCTCTGACCTGCATTGTGTGCGGGTGACCCCAGCCCCAATGAATGCCAAAGGCCGAC